CTCACCCTATTTCTTGATTTTATATGACTGTGACACAAGCACTTTTTACCCCACTATGCAGCACATAGAACACTTGATGTACTGTTGTTCATTAATAGTTTAATAAATATCTATTTCTAGGCTTCCATACAGTGCATCGCCTTATTTAGATTTTTTGTGACAGCTATTACACAGCTGTTTTTCCTATGCTACAAATATTTGCTCATTAGAGCTTCCTTAACAATTCAAGACTAAAAAAAACCACTTGGGTTTATTCCTAGTAATGAAGATACTGTGTAGTTCCATCTTCTCCCTTGAGAAGACTGCAAACTTCCATTCCAGTGTTAGATGAGTTATAGTTTACTGTTAAATCCATATTGATTTATAATAACCATTGTGTCTTGAAGCAAGCCATACCAATCACCATTAACTGAATTCAAATAGACTGCTAAGCCATAATATTATCTATTTAGCATTATATTGAGGCAGGCTACTATAGTTTGTTCAGTAAGCCAGCTATAAATCAAACCATTCTATACATCATGTGTAATATGACAGATAAACTAAGTAAGCATATTGTAAGCAGCCTGGAATTTTGTATATTTGATGGGCAGCTATATAAAAACAAATAAATCAAGGTTAAATAAGTCAAGATTTAACATGGTAGCTAAATCTAGCAAAGTCTACACCAGGAATAGAGAATCTATCGCCTTCAAAAACTGCTGAACTGCAACATTCAAGAGCTCCAGATGCTGGGTGTCCATCATTGGATTAGCATAATCAATAGTCCCTTTCAATACAAGGCAATTTCCTACATCCTAACTTCGAAACACTAATTTAACCTACTAGCACACAACAACTCAGGGCAGAATTTACCATGTTGGTGTACTTAGTAATATCAAATAATTATTTCATTACTATTATATTTCTTTTCTATTATATATTGGAGATATTAATTGCATTTTCTGCTTCAGGTATTTTGAGCAATATCTGATTATTAGTCTTTAATAAGAATCATACAATCATAGGGCTGGAAGGAAGCAAGAACCAGCATGCACTCAAATTACCACCATTCTAATATGTATCACATACATTCTTTTAATGGCAGTAGTATATCAACAGAAAGTTACAAAACACACATTGGGAAGTATGTAAGAACTTTTTATTTAAAAGGTCCAATTATTGTAGTCCAGGTAACCACTAAATATTTAGATTGTTAGTTACCAAGACTTTAAGAATTAGGCAACTGAAGTCACCCATCTTTTGACCATTTAAGACCATTCATAGGCAAATCTGAAACAACATTCATGCATATGTTTATATAACATGTTCAACTTATACAGCAAATATTTTTTAAAAGCTTGATAGAAACAAGAGCCAGCCTGCACTCATTCTATTCTAATATATATCACAAACATTTTTAATGGCAGTGGAATACTTTCAGACAAGAAAATATGCAATTTATCTGCTTTAGAAAAGAATCTTTAACATTTACAATTATATTTGTAATATTAAAGAGAGTTCTTTTTGGACATGGGAAAATGTTAGAGGACCTGTGTACATACAGAATGCAACCTAAGACTGAGATAAATGACTGATGAGCTCTTGATTGTCATCTTATGACAAAAGGTAATCTAATCTGCTTTAAAAAGAAACAAGACCTACCTTGCAGGGATATGGTGAAGATTACATATAGTGGGGTAGATTTAAACACTGTGCTATGTTGTATGGTTTGTGTGTATTGGTTTATTATGTTGTATAAACTCAAATATTTTCATTCATGAACTATGATTTTATGGCATGGTAGCATTTTATATAAACTCAGCCACTTCCATTTATAAAATATGATTCATGGCTTAATGAACTGCATGAACTTGGCAAATAATAGTTAAACACAAATATATATACTCAGTCCAAGAAAACTGTAGTTCCATCTGACATGTGCCCCAGAGTTCAATCTTTGGTTAAAATTAGACACTCTGTATGGTAACTGTTGGATGGGCAAAGAGGGGACAGAACCACGACAGGCATATTGTGATATTGTCATGCAAATAATGTAATTTACACCAATTGTGAAAGGAGGGGCACAGAATCATGAAGTAAAATCGTAAATAAAAACACTAGTACAGAGCCACAGTGTCAATAAGGACCAAATATTAAATAAGTACAAGTAAATATGAATGCACAATTCAACCCCTCTTCAATCTTCAAAGGCATTCTGGAAGGCCATCAATAAGGATGGGTGACCTTTGCTTGAGTAGGAGGCTATTCCAGGACGTTGGGGTCACAATTGAGCACAACAGTGTCTGTAGGTCTCTGCCAAGACTGGGAAGTTCTCATGAAGCTTTGTCCAGGCAGGGTCACTTCTATCAGGGAAGCAGATCTGCTAAGGTCAAGGCATAGATGTGGCTGTTCAGATCAAACTAGCCTTTCAAACTGTACCTGGGACCTTATTAGTAACTAATGTAGCAACTACTCCATTTCCCTTAATAAAATGAGAACGCTAAAGCCCCCAGCAGTAACCTACTGTTCTCTTTAATTATGGTTTGCAAAGCCACAATAGCTGTTTTCATACAACCTTCTTGCTAAACCAAAACCAAACAAACCACAGATTCAAGGAAAAGGGAGCCATTTCTGCTAACCCAAGGGCAACCTTAGTCTTTATGATGCATGTCTCCAAAGGTGAGCGGGAAAAGATCCCATTTTGAAGCTGTATTCAGGGATTTAGGGTGAACTGGGTTCCATAACAGTGTGCTAGCCTTAAGACACTCATTTTTTTCCTTTCAAGTCTTCCAAACTGCAAAAACAACTTTTGACTTCATTCGCTCTGTGGGCTTCAAAGAAAAACTGGAGATATTGGAAGATTACACCAAGTACAGTCTGGAGACCACATGCAATGCGTGATTAGTTGTTCCGCAAATAGTTTGGTTATTATAAGCACTTTGAGCTCTGTAAAGTGCAAAAGAAATATCTTCATAAATAACCTTGCTCATTAAACCAGCTTCCTTACCTGGGATTAGAAGCTACTAACTACAAAATTAATTTTGTAAAAGGAATCCATAGAGAAACCAGGAAATGACAGAGCAGCTAACATAGTATCTATATGAAAAAAAAGATGGAAGAGATATCATTTACAGAGCAAGAGTCATGCTGAAGAGAAATCTATAAGACTTCTGCCTGGGGCAGAACAATTAAGGTTAGGTTCTGTTCATACAATATAAGCCTTGGTTTGTTCAAACCCAGTTTAGTGAATAAGCCACAATTGGTTCATTTCATATAACTTAAGGCATCGCTAGCAAATCATATTAGCTTGGCTTACTCAACACAATGATACTTTAGACAAGCATGCTGTACACACTCAGAAAACAGAGTGAATTGAATAAACAATTAATCACAAGTAAGCAATTCAAGTAAACAGTTTGGAAGCATTGATTGCTAAAAAAAAGTAAGCAACACAACTAAGGCCTCTTGTTTTTTGCAAAGGCAGGAAGCAGAGGCTGTACACATCTGGGTGAGGATAAGCAACAAGAAACCACGTTTGCAGGTGATACAACATTTTAAATGCCTAAATATCACAACAGGACATGTGGCACAAGATGGTTGTAAGTGAACCAATTATTTTAAGTTGAACAACTTTTTTGTCCTTATTCACACATCATGGAAAGCTGTAAAGTGGTCTGCCATTATTAATTTACTACAATGTATAAACTTAGTTCTTGTGTTTTGTTGCACAGCTTAGCATCTTACAAATTCAGCAATTTATGTTTACTGAATAAAATGTAAAGAAACGATGGCTTCATGCAAAAACTGGGCATCATCAGTATAAACAATCATAGGAATTGGATTGTGGTGGAAAGCACAACAACAAAGAATGCCCTTTCAGTATGCAGCAGAACAGAAAAAAGTTAATCCCATACTACAGATCAGGAAAGGGACTGACATTTTAACTGCTTATGTTATCTTTAAATAAACACAAAGTATCACCATGCTAGGAGCCATGAAAACATAACTCTTTTTAATAGTTTTTATCCACACAGGTTTCTACATAGGCAGGATTGAAACACCCAAATGCCCAGAATTTCCACAGCTGAGTTTGCTATTGCTTGTATGACTATCTTGGTTTATCTTTTCTGTCTCTCCAAGAAATACAGGCTAGTAAGTTTGTACATTACAACTCAATCGCTTAATTAACTCTCAAAAAGTTATATCTCCAGGCTAAGGTTGGAAGCACCTATGCAACGCAACTTTTCACTCTAACTTCAGCCAATCGGGGTCAGCTTTCTTCCGCTCTTCTTGAAATAAACGCGATCGAAACTTAGGAAGTCCCGTCGCTCCTCAGAAGGCAAAAGTTTCCTGCCCCAACTCAGTCGGGCCGGACTAAGCCTCTCGGCTGCTCCCGCACAAAACAGCAACCCGGGACCTAAGCACGGGATTTGCACGAAACAAGACCGGTTTAAAGGGGAAAAGCAGCAGATGCGGAGCTACAACCGAGTTTTAAGACGCCTGGGAAGCCCCGAAGGCTTCCTGTGTTTCGCTCGCCAAGCACCAGCTAAATACTGTACGCGCAAACCTCGTTCACATCTCCCTCAACTATCCGCACCCTTATAACGGTTTGCTGCACCGGCGGCCAGGCAGGTTTTGTTTGTTTGTTTTGTTTTAACTAACCGAGGAGACTTTCTTCTTACAGACGACGCCTTTTCAACTAGGTTTGTTTCTCCTTGCAGCGCCCAAACGCTCTTTTTTTTTCAGGTGGCGAGGGCTGCTGCAAACTTTGGGGTGGGAAGAAGAGTGGCGGGCGGAAAGCAGCGCCCTTTGAACTGTTGCTTCTTTCCACCACCGCCAAAGCCACCATCCCTTCGCTAGAAAGGGGATCCGGGGAGCCTGGTGAGGAAGGAGGAAAGCGCTTTCCAGGGGGGCACAGCGTTTAAAGAAGCTTGCCAAAGCCAAGGGTGCGGAGGGAGGGGGGCCACGGGCGGACTTTAGCTGGGCTGTCATCTCCACCACCCTCTTTTCGCCTTTACCTGATTGCATTGGGGGCTCGGCTCGCCCTGGAGCTGGAGCGAGAAAAGGGTTATTAGCAGCTTGGTAATCCCATGTCCCTGAATTTGCCGAATTCCGTTAGGGATGCAGGCTCAGCAGCTCCCGCTCCAGCTTAAATCTGAGCGGGGAAGAGAGAAAGAGAGAGCTCAACAGCACAGCCACATGGTTACTGCACTCCTCAAGCGCCGTGCAGCTGATTATATACTCCCGACTGGTTTCATGGGCAATGTAGTTCCACCGAATGAATTATACCGCCCTCTGCCAGCCGATGGAGTCTCATAAAAGGACTACCGCTCCCAGCATGCTCCCGGCTGGAAGGACGGGCCGCTCAAGAGGCTTGGCAAACAGAGCAATGTTTCTCTGTCAAATCAAAAAGAATGTTCGGCGAGCGGACGGTGGAAGCGAAAGTTCTCCCTTTACGGCCATTGGTTGAGTCCTTTTTTCGCCTTTCTCTGCCATCTGCCACTAACCAATTCTTCGGTTCAGAAATACTTCCCACCCGGTCCCGCTATTAGAAGGAGTGGAGGAAATTTTGTGAGGAGTGTTTCTCTCCAGCCCCCTCCCCGGTGTTTTGCAACTTGTCAACTCTTTTCTGAACTTCCTGGAACAAGCCATCTGCGGCGTCATGAAAGGCTGTGATAAAAGCATAATAGAATTCAGTGAAGTAGATGGACTTTTATTTTATGTCAGGTTTTATTTTATCAACTTGATATGGCCGTCCATCTCACAAGTTACATTGGGCAGCATACAATAGTCAAAACAATATAAATACAGTAATTATAAAAATACAAACAGTCATTATTTAAAAATATTAGTAAAAATTAAAATATACAGACCACAAAGCATGGAGAAAGTAAGAATATCAACCCCAATGGTGGTTACATTATTGTTGTAAGCTGCCGAAACTCACTTGACATCTTAGGATGGCACCACTTCCCTGGGACCCCCCAAGCCTGGGGACACAACTAGGTCTTAAGGAACTTCTAGAACATTAAACGTACAGTATAATGTTTTTTTTAAAAAAATTATGAGCCATCAAGTTGGTACTGACTTTTGTTGAATACATTAATAGATTTTCTTCATGATGATCTGCTCCTAACCTGCTCCTAACCTGGCCCTTCAGGTCTTCCAACAGTATAGCAATTGCCACTGTAACAAGTGCATTAGTTGCTGGTCCTCCTTCTCCTTATTCTTCTCTTCCTCCTTCTCCTCTCCCTTTCCCTGCATTATTGACTTCTTCAGAGAGCAAGATCCTCATATAATGTGTTGTAGTACAATAATTTGAGCCTGGCCATTTGTACCTCAAATGAGGACTCTGGGTTGATTTGTCTGAAGATCCATTTATTTATTTATCTGGCTAGTCATGGCATTTTGAAGAATATGTACAATACAGAATAACTCTAATACAAATGTGATTGGCAGCATAAATATTAGTCTTTGGAGCAAACTATTTGAACAATTAAGAAAACTGAGAGAATGTGTATGATATAATCTCCAAACTAATTATAAACAAACTAATCTTGCTGGGTTCAAACTAGAAAGTGACATTACAGCTTAGCAAGTTGTATGAATTTAGTCCATCATACAGTTGCCTTAAAGTACTAATTTTAAAGGGGAACCAAATTACTACTACTTCTAACACTGACAGGACAAGCCACTAGACCAGGGGTGTCAAACTCGCTGTGTCACATGATGTGTCACGACACTTTTTTCCCCTTGCTGGAGTTGGGGTGGACGCAACTTCCACGTGATGCATCTGGCCCATGGACCGGCAGTTTGACACCCCTGCATTAGACTATAACTTGAGAGCAAACCTCTACTAGCACTAATGATGTTACCTGGAATGGGTAATGAAACATCTGCAAGAAAACAACCAAGCTCAGAGAGCACCGATGACCCCTCATTTCAAACCTGAGCTACAAATATTCACCTTTATCGATATTACTTCATTACAAATAATTAAAACCAGGAGATCGACACCTCTTGCAAAAATATTCATAGTGAACAGATTTCATAGTACGCAAATACTGTAAGCAGAAATCTGTTGACCAGTAAACATATTTACCTGGAGGTGCAAAATCTACCATTCCAAGAATGAAAGAATTCTGGAATATACCAACCTGGTCATTCTGAGGCTACTTCATATGTTTTACAGAAGTTTATCTTCTTCACCTGAAGTGGATGAACTTTCAGAATACCACAGGACCACCTCTAACAGAATATCTCCTAGAGGGGTGGGCCACAGCCCATTATCAGGTCATGGCCTATTTGCAACCGGGCCACATGAGTGGCAGGCCAGCGCTTGTGCGATCAGCCCAACACATGCAAACAGCAGGTGCTGGCAGCCCCACTTGAATGAGCGGTGAACACCAGCACTCACACAAATAAAGCTATATGTGCACATGTGCACATGCCTGTCCCTCACACAAAACCATCCCCTCTTCCTCCCTCCACACTGGGCCACCAACCTGGAAAGGTTGGGGAATGATGTCTTAGAGTTCTGAGGTCCTAACCTCTAGAATTCCCAGGTAAACCATTCTATACATGTTACATGTTACATACTAGAACAGTGGTGGCAAATCTATGGCACGGGTGCCAGAGGTGGCACTCAGAGCCCTCTCTGTGGGCACGTGTGCCGCCGCCCCAGTCCTAGGCCTTCAGCTGGGTTTTATAAAACATTTTTGCTTTAGGCCTCCGCCGCCGTGTGCAAAAAAAAAAAAAGGTTCAATCAGTCAATTTCAACTTCTCGCGGGAAAAAAAAAGATCTTGCAAAGCTGGAATTGATTGATTGAACTTTTTAGTCCCACCCAGTCTGCTGTTACCACCGCAGCCACGCCCATCCAGTTGGCCACACCCAGCCAATGGGCCACACCCACCCAGCACTCGACGATGCATAAGTGGGTTTGGGGTTGCAGTTTGGGCACTCAGTCTCTACAAGGTTCACCATCACTGTACTAGAAGAACTGACTATAGAACAAGAGCTACATTCAGGACCTTTGACACATCCACAGTTTTATACTCGTGCATAAGCAATAAGGGTAGGAAGAAAGGTCACATGTTTGCACTTCAAGATTAAAGGTGCCTTACACTTACAATAAATATTTGTTACTTTTATAGTAGCAAATAAAAGTAGCCAGGTTGTTTTACTTTTTTTTGGCACCTAATTTTGTTTTCACACATCATTGTGTTTAATTTTTCATTATCGAAAAGGGCTTCAAAACTCAGGCATTCTGAGATCTCTGAGGGATGGCTCCAAGTCTATTGCAAGACTACATCTATTACATGCCTACTCTAAGATCTAATAATAAAATTCAAACAGCATTTACTACGTAAAACCCCATCTTCTAAAATAATAGACTGATTTCTTAAAAATACTTATATTTTCCACATTATCAAGCATCCTATGGTAGATTATAATCCAAAATCGAGTAAAAATAAGTAATTAAAAAAGCAAAAAAGACAATAAAAGGACAAAAAAATCTTGTTGAAGTTTTGGTCACTTAGATTCTGAATGTCAGAGGAAAAAGCCAGATTTTCACCTGCTTCAGCAAGTCAGACAGTATGACTACCAATCTGGCTTCCCATAAAAAGACATCACAAAATTAGGTTGCCCCAACAGAAAAGACTGTCTCTTTCTACCCACATAATGCAATCTCTCAGCTGTGGGATTTTGAGGAGCTTAACCTTACAGATCCTAATAGTAAAGCGGGTAATTCTTCAGTATCTGGATCCTAACAATTAACAGCCTTAAAATTCAATACTAAAACGTCGAAGTCCGATTGCTAATATGCAGGAACTGGTGTACTTTCTTTAGAGCAGATATTATGTGGTCTCTAAAGCATATATCAAAGAACAGTCTCATTGCTGTATTTTTACCACCTAATGTAAGAAGGGTTTGAGAAAGTACCAGGAGGAATGTTAGACATAACCAACATGTAGAAGAGGACTTTGTTAGTAGATTATCTCATCGCTGGCAGTTCAGTTCAAGCTGCAAAATGGCAGGGAAGAATTGATTCCAAGTGTTGAAAGAACCTCACAGAATTCCCTAATAAATAAAGGTTGGAGGTTCCTACCACTTGCCAAGATTCTGTCCAGTGCTTCATGCTTAATTCTTGCACTAATATTCCTTATTAAAATCAGTATTATTCTTGGCTGAGACTGTAGCTTCTGAGTCTTCTTCAGGTCAGATTCATAACTTTCTTCCTCAATGGAAAGTTAATAGAGTATGGGCTACTGTGCCCAAGCCATACCTGTTCCACTAAGGAATGTAGCTGCCAGACATAGCGTACATAATCACCATCTATGCAGTCTTCTTCTGCTTTCTGTATAAGTGTATAGATTCAGAAAGGAATCTGATTCTCATGCCATGAAAAATTGTTTGTTGTGTTTCTATGTTGCCGGTCTCAGAACACAATTCTTGGGAATTTACAGAATAAAACATACTGTAAACAGATAGTAAAAACAGGAAAATACAGAACTACCGAATAACTGTGGGCACTTTCTAGATTTAATTTCTTTTTGACTTCATTCTTTAAGATACCTCCCCTTCCCATTTTCAAGACACAAAACCTGTGTCATTTTAAAAAGTTCCAAGATGAATTGTTTTCACTGCAGCAGACTTACATGGATATCCCACTTGATTATGAATATCAATTGAGGGAACAGCAGTAGAGCTTTGTAACCTGGGAATTTTACTTTAGTTCTCTAGGGAGATTTGACTGCAAACAAGAAGCTGCTATATGGACCTTGTTTTGTTATACTAAAGCTTTCATTTTATAATTTTGTGGCATTTATCCTATTATTAGAAAGTCTTCATCGGGGTCCAGTCCAAGCCGGGAATAAACAAAATGGAGACTGCTTTAGAAAGAAGGTTGTAGTTTATTGAAGAGCAGAGCCAGATAGAGGGCTGGGAAAGCTGAACACATGTAGCTGGGAGTGGTGGGTTTTTATACCTTCTGGGGCTTTTGAGATTGTTTCCTGTTACTGTTTGAGGCTTTGTATTTCCTGTGGCATGTACTTTGACCT